TACCTATCAATTTGTTTTTTTTTTATCGTATAGATGCTGTGATATGATCCACATTTGTGTATCATATTGACTGTTAGATGATTTACACTGAAGTATAATTCTTGTTTCTATTTTATGTCAGCCTACTAATTTCCTTTCCTATTATCTTCCAACTTCTTGCTGATGCTGGCTTGCTTTATTTGGTGACAGTTGATATAGCTCTGTGTGGAACAAAGTGAGAATATGCAAATATGCCTCCTTGCATCTTTATGAGACAGTTATTATTCACTTTCATACAGAGGAAGGAACTGACCCTCAAAGGCATTTAAATGAAATATCCAAGTATGTTCCACATAGTTTAGCATTTAATAGTGTGCTGACCCACTTATAATGTGATTTCCCCAGGGCACATAAATTTTTGTGGAGAGATATATTTAATAATCCCAGGTTTATCCCCATGAATTTTGTGACTTCATACAATTCAAGAAACTTCTCTGTACTTTTTTTTTTACTTATCTGTGAAGGGTACATGATAATATACCTATCCTATAGGATGAGAGTTAATTTTTAAGCTAGTATGGCAGTATATGCTTATAAGCTCAGTTACTTAAGAAGCTGAAGCAGGTATGCTTGTACCCAGGAATACCAGCATGAGGAAAATTCTGGCTCAAACAACACAAAAGAGCTAATTTATGTAAAGTACTTAGAATATTTTTCAGGGTGCACACCTAGTATATGTATACCATCTCCTTCTCCTTATCTTCCTCTCTGTCTCCCTCTGCCTTCTTAGCTCATGCCTCTGTTGTTTTCAACCCTCCAGCCTTTCTCAAAGGGTCACACTAACTCTAAGGGACCCCAGCAAAGTCGCAAAAGGGCTCTCTGTACATTTTTTCACATTTCCCTCCAACCTGCTCCGTTGGTTTCTACTTCTGAATCCTAGTTGGCTGATTCCCACCTCACTTCTGTGTGCAGCCACTGATACTGGAGTCTATGATACTCTTCCTCCATTCTCCTGGAAATGCAGTGTTTTTCCCTAGAATCCTCCCTCAAATCCTGGGTAGGCATCAAAATCAGTGCTGACCACCTAAGCCAGGATGCACTGTTTCTTCATTGCCTTGTTCTATGGAACAGAGAATTTTCATGGGGCTGAGCCAAGACATCTTGAACAGATACATTACAGTCCTCTCCCTCCCTTTGCACCTGCCCCTCCCTCCAGGTTACAGGAATCTTTTCCTCTGATCTCCTTCTGCCAAACCCTTCCCTACGGGTTCATGAGCCATCTCCATGAATCCCACTTGGGTCAGCTGACACCTCTGACAGATCAAACTCTACTCCTAGCTTTTTCTCTAGTCAGTGCACTCTTTAAATCATTAGACCATTTGTATAGGCAAGGCTGCATTGTATATACCACAGAATTGAGGAAAATAAGGGAAGGGGCGGACCAAAAGGGAAAGAAAATATTGAATGGATGACACAGATCAAGGTGCATTGTATACATAACCCACTTTTTAAATGGCAAACTAATTTCAGTGCATCACCTGAAAATCAAGAAGAGTGAAGGAAAGGGTGGGGTGAGATAAGTGGGTAAGAATGAATACTGCACTCAACTCTGGACCACAGATACAGTTGGCATCTCCTTTCTGAATCCTTGGGGCAAGATCCACACTTAATGCATTGTCTTGTATTGGATTGTCCTGGGGAAGTGAGAGCTATGGAGAGTCCCTGCACCTTGCTTTTCTCCCACAGTCATAATTGCCTCAGCGCACAGACACCCGCAACCCTAGTTCTCAGCCCCATGCAGCCTTACCATCTGCTCCTATGACAGCAACATGCTGGCCTCCCTCCATGCATTCCTAAATGAGGTTATGAAGGAACCAGAGATGGGAAGAATGCCAGCTGGCACCAGGAACACAAACCCAGACAGAGACGAATCGTGACCCAGGGCAGAGAGTTTTCAGATGGATAACTGTGTGTGGTATCATTGGTGCAATGGACACACCTCTGCTCATGCTCACAAGAGGGAAATCCATGTATTTTGTTTCTCTTCTTCCACCAATGACACCAGCCTTTTTTATATAAAGATGTAGCTTTAGTTTTCTACAAGTAGTTAACCAATTTTGCCAGCACCATTTACTGAAGAGGCTGTCTTTCTTCCATTCTATTTTTTTAGCTCCCTTATCGAAGATTAGATGGCTATAGGTCTGTAGGTTCATTTCTGGGTTTTCAATTCTATTCCATTGGTCCTGAGGTCTGTTCTTGTGCCTCTAATGTATTTATAATGTACTATGTGATTATTTTGTTTCTTTGTATGTTCCTCCCCCATGGTATAACCCCTGTTTTCACTGTATTTGATATTGGTGCCCTGCATCTTGTATATACACTTCTCTAATTCGGGAGGGGACGGGGTAAAAACAAATGCTTAAATAGGGATACAGAATGACCCATTGTAACAATGAGATGTATAAGACACTATGTTGAAAATGAACTTTACAACTTTGGCGGGGGGGGGGAGAGGTTATTATGGAGGTGGGAGGGAAGGGATGGTAGGGGAAAAACAAAGGAGGGGGCAACAATGCTCCATAGGAAATGTACTCATTACCTTGCTCATGTAACTGTAACCCCTCTGTACAGTATTTTTGCAATAAAAAGTAACAAAAAATCACCAAAAAATTCAATTAGAAAAGAAGATTCAAAATTAAGACCTGAGTTGTTCTGCTTTTGCCTCTTTGCATCTCTGAATGATATTGGGATGTTCCCAGGAGTTTGCAAATTGCTTGAAAATGACAGAATAGGGATTCCTGGCTGCTCAGGAGAAGAACAAGCCAAGGAAAATCGCCTTAGGTTGATGCATCAGTCCTGGGCATAAGCTGTCCTCTATCACGCTGAGATTTCCTGGGTGTTGTTGTTGTATTAATGTACAGTGTGCATTTGTTCCTTTTTCTCTGCTGCTTCTGGGATGAAGTAATTCAAGATTTGTTCTATGTATTTCAAATTTAAGTAGAGGATGTTGTCTCTGGGTTGTCATTGTTAAAAGTACTGCTGAGATTGATGTAGTTTATGTTAAGACATCTCTGTGTTTAAGTTCCTGTTCCTTACTTTTGTTATGGAATTATGTTTCCACACTCACTTCCCTCACTTTTACTATTCTTTTTAAACGGAAGTTACACGGGTGCTCAGTAAGATGGAATGAGCTCCTCTACTAGCTCCATGCTAGTCTTGCTTGTGGTTTCTTTGTATCCGAAATGCCTCTCCTCCCAGGTCCTGCCTGTTCTCCAGGCAGTTATCTCCGACCAGCTGATGAAGTGAAGATAGAACTGTGCTTCTAGCCACATGGAGGAGATGCACACAGAAATCTCACATCCGTCCTGTGCAGGGTTCAGAGGCCATCTCAGAGGCAGAGTCCCCAAACTGCTGAAATCCTAGAAACATCGTATGTCTAAAGCACTCAAGGCAGCTGGCTACGTTTCATTCCATGAGGCCAACTTAGTTGAAGCTGTTAGGCACAAAAACTTCTTGGTTTTGACTTTGTAAGCGAGTTGGAGGTACAGGAAGAACTTTGGAGCACCAATCTCTCAGCCTTGTAAGAATCACAATTATCCCTCATTCTTCCCTGCTGCAATCATTTAAAAAAAATCTTGAAACAGCAGAGATGGTTGCCATGATGTTTGATGATTTGCACATGGTACCAATAAGCAAGATCTGGAGAAATAATATGTGAGAGTCTAGAGATTATTAGATGGTCACAAGTTGTGATAGAAAAGCCACTGGGGAATTCACTGGATATCATATGTGGAGAATAAGAAGGGAAGGTGGCTCAGTGGTAGAGCGCTTGCCTTGCATGCATGAGGCCCTGGGTTCGATTCCTCAGCACCACATAAGCAAAAAAGAAAAAAGCCGGAAGTAGTGCTGTGGCTCAAGTGGTAGAGCGCTAGCCTTGAGCTGAAGAGCTGAGGCCCAGAGTTCAGGCCCCATGACCGGACCCCCCCAAAAAAAATTTAAAAAAATAAAAAAAGAAGAGTAATCCATTTAGAGACAGAAACAAGTCATATAAACAGGAAGTGAAGGGGAGTATGGTTTGTGTTCTACCTAAGAGACTTCTATATCAAAGGGTTAGGAGTTTGTACTGAGCACACTATAAGGAGGAAATGTAAAAGGTTTCTGAATCAAAAAAAGGAAGTCACTGGCAATGGTGGCCAATGAGGATAATGCAGGAGGATCATGAGTGAGTTTGCTGGGTACACTTTCAGACCAGACGCTGGTGGCTAAGCCTATAATTCTAGCTCCTCAGGAGGCTGAGATCTGAGGATTACAGTTCAAAGCCAGCCTGGTAGGAAAGTTCATAAAACTTATCTCCAATTAATCTCACACACACAAAATGGAAGTGGAGCTGTAGCTCAAAGTGGTAGTGTGCTATCTCCTTGGACACAAAAACTCAGGGACAGTGTCCAGACTCTGAGTTCAAGTCCCACGACTGAATAATAAAAACAAACAATAAAGGAGGAAGGAGTCATAAAAGAATAAAAAGAGAGGGAAAATGGGAAGGGTGAGGCACGTTCTTAATTCAAATGACTCTTTAGGAAAATGACGCTTTTACTTACGGTAAGGTAGAATCACAGAGATATCTGCCCTGAAATGGAAGATGTGCTGGCCCCAAAAGTACGAGCAGGTTGTTCAGGATGTGTTTTCCAGTTCTCACCTATGTCTTGTATAGAAATGTTGCCTTGGTTTCTATGCATCCTCTGATAGTGTGGCAGCAGACCCTGGGTCTCTCTACAAGCCTTGCTGTGATCTACCTTTCAGATGGGAGCTGCATATTATTTGCTGGAAGTTTTCTATAACAGATGTTACCAGGCAGACAAGCAAGCACACACTCCCAGCGCCTAGAGTATGCTGAGCCAGGCACACAGGCACACATGCACTTGCCAATACGAACACCAGAAGATGGAGGGAGTGTGCTCTGAGGGACAAGCGTTGTTCCCCAGCCCTGCTAACGTCTCTGTGTGGCCATGCTGTATTTTCAGCTTGTCATCATGGCTGGGACAGTGCTACTTGCCTACTACTTCGAATGCACGGACACTTTTCAGGTGCATATCCAAGGATTCTTCTGTCAGGATGGAGACTTAATGAAGCCTTATCCAGGGACGGAGGAAGAAAGCTTCATCACTCCTCTGGTGCTCTATTGTGTGCTGGCTGCCACCCCAACTGCTATTGTAAGTACAGAAAGAGACTTCCTGCTTTATTGTCAGGTACCAAAGCCTATTTCCTGTTCTGTTTTTTCTCCGCTTTGCTCTCTTCTTGGGCAACCCACCAGCAATCTGATTAATGGGATTCTATTTTAGACAAGCAGAGTAAATAGAGCTCTGCATAAAAACTCATTGAAACAGGTCTTGTGTTTTGTAAGTTTTTCTTTTACTTTTAGCATCTGGATTTAAAATATGTATATATTTATACAGTTTAAATAGATAGGCATATATATTTATGCATATATTTATATATTAAATATAATACGTAGTATATTTTAACTAGTATATAATTAAATATATGTTTATATATAAATATATATGTATGTTTTTAAAAAGCAAGAGTGGCATAATTCAATAGGAATGATTAGATAAAGCATTAAGTACAGCTGCTATGCTCCTAAAAAAAAACAAAAATAAAACAAAACTGGAGATTGGTTGCATTCAGACAGTTTTGACAGTGAGTGCAGGCTTAGCATAAAGACTGGATCACGGTGGAATAAACTCCCCTTGGCTGGTATCTCTTACAGTTCTGATTGGCTTTCCAGAGATACCAGCGGTGAAGGAAATCTCCCTACCCCAAGCTTGCTGTTATTTAACAATAGTTGTCATTCTTGATGATTTTGACTCTGTCCACATTCTATTACATTCAACTCAATTGCAACCTTTCCTTCATTTGTTTCATTTTATCTCATGACACAAAAAGAAAAAAAAATAGTCAATCCTCTGGGAAATATCTAAGGGTTTTAACCCTTAGATATATTTACTTTGAAAATGATATTTCATAGAAATCTTAAAGTAAATATTTCTATATCACACATGCTACTAGGATGTACTCATTACAATGAAGTCTTAGTTTCCATTCTGTCCTTTTCCCAACCCTTACTCACCTCCCCTTTCCTATATCCTTTACTTTCTTTATAGGAGTCTAAATACTGACTTGAATGCTAAGGAATGTACTGATACTTCAGACATTCAGTTCCAATGTGGTTTTCAGTTTTCCTGGCTCTAGGGAAAAAATATAATTTTAAGAAGTGATGCAAACATCTGTACATAGCTTTTGAACTTTTCTACTTGTCCTACACAGGTACTAGTTATTGCAAATAAGGGAAGCCATGGGACCTATGTTTCTTTGGGCCTGGCTTACTTCACTTAATAGGATTGTTTCCAAGTCTTTCCACTTCCTAACAAATGGGGTGATGTCAGAGTGTTTTAATTTATTTGTATCATTTATTCCAGGCTTGACACTGTTCCCCTTTAAATAATAAGACTATGCTGTAGAGACCAAGGACAGCAATGATAAGCCAAACCATGATATTTCAGAGTGGTTAAATATACAAGCTTTACAGTCCAATATACCTACATTTACATCCTGGCTGTGTGACATTGGGCAGGTCACCTCCCATACTTTGTATGGGGGGATAATTGTTATGAGACTTAGAAATGCATTTGTAGAATGCAGGCTACAACTTTAAATACTATCTTTATCCTTGATTCACGTTCCAGAATGACATTAATTGAGATGCGGATCCAATGCTCCAAAGGGGGAATATACACAAAATATTAAGAATCTTCAGTTCCTATCTAGCTGTTGATCATGAAACCCTGCTTCAACTTTACAATTCCTGCTTCTCTGGGTGAAAACTATGACCAGCAATACTAACAAGACTCCAGGCATGTGTTTAGGATTAGCCCATCAATGACAGTGGTAAAACAAACATCTTATAATTTATATATATTCTACACAGTCTTTGACTGATACTCACAACAGCCAAATGAAATTGAAAAGGGTCATTCCAAAGAAAAAGCGTGTGGTCTTTGTTTTTAAGTTGAGAATATTGAGACTCAACTAGGACAGATAATCTGGTGAAGGTTCCTAGCAGTTCCATGCACAGTTGGACAAAGAGCCATCCATCTGGTTCCATGCCTGTTTCCCTCCTAGCAAAAGCATATTTCTAGGAACCAGGGCTGATCATGGCAGAGAGTGGTGCTGTGGCCTTGAAACCCTGCTAATGAAACTTCATCTTCCCTCAAGGCCTATAAATAAGTGAGCTGCTACAGGACATGAAGCAGAACTCTTCTAATATTCAGGAAATGTCCTGGCAGCAAGGAGTTATGTTTATTTCCACCCCATCACACCAAGGTATAGCTTATTCAAGAGCAGCCTTTATTGAGCCAGTAGATCACAGATCCCCAGGCCCTTCCTCAGCACACACTCCTATATCAAAGCATGAACCCTTTTCTGTTCTTACCATGCAGCTTCCCCAGGCTCTCTCTCCCTGGAGAGGCTGCTTCTGGTAATTGTGTGTATTCCCTTCATAGGTTCAATTTCCTCATCTTTCCATCAAAGAAAAGGTAAGGCTAAATGATTTTCAACTTCTTTCCAGTTCTCAGATTCCATGGGAAGGAAAAGAAAGAGGAAAAAAAAAGAACATTCTGATTGCAAGTCTTTACACATGGATTCCCAACTCCCAAGTCACAGTTTTCTGTCTGGGGGGTTAATTTTGTTCTTCCATCCTGAGCCGAGGGTTCCACAGAACTATACAGCTGCTTGTTTGTTTGTGTTTTCCCTCCTGAAACTGTTTTCCATTTTCTCTAGAGTATGATGAATGCAGGCCTCCTTGTAGGTAGTTGTGTGGGCCTAACTAATGATAAATTTGTAACTCAACTTGGATTTGCCCTTGACTTTCTATGCCTCTTCCAGCATGTTGGCAAAGGAAGAAGCGGCAGTCTGGATTGCATGTAAGCATCAACATCCCCATCACAGCTGCCGAGATGCACAAGACAGGCACAAGGGGAAAGACACTGCTGTTTGACCTGTCGTTTCCTATTTCTCCTTTTGTGCTTTTCTGTCACAAAATATCAGTGTCATATTTAGATAAAGCCACATGGGGTAAACTGTAGAGGGCCAGCACCACTAATGTCCTAGATCTGTAGGGAAAGTTAGCATGTGATATATCATGTCCTGAACTGTTTATCTGAAAGCAGGAACCTCCATACTTCAATGAAATCTGGACAGCATGCTCTGACCCCCTGAAAATTATGGAAAACTACTACGTAGGCCTTCAGAATAAACTGGCACATTCAGAGTTAAAGGACCAAACTGTACTTGGATAAGAGGATTTACTCAGTGGACAATCTGATTTACCCTGATTTTATCTCAGTCCCAGAGCCACGAGGCATGAAAAAATAGCTATTAAACCTTTTTCTTGGCCTCCAAATGAAGTGACAGGGGAGTATTTAGTGTTGAAGCAGCAGAACATTTGACTCCTAGCCCAAGAGAATTGAAATAGCTCACAGATTTCATGCCAGTGTGCATAAAGGCACATGCAAAACACATCTGCAATTTCCTAGGAAGAGACAAACACAATTTGATAGAAAGGCCTGATTTGAAGGAAGTTTTGGAATCATCATTGGGAAGTGTCTAAGCACTAAACTTATAGCAAATATAAAAGCACACTGCAGATCACAAAATGAACTCAAGAATGCAAATCTGTTGGCTGGCAGACAAGGGCTGCAGCTGTTGGAGGAAAGGAGACATTGTAAGGCCATGTATTCTCTCATAGTTTGCTCCTGAACAAGCTCATCATTGAAACGCCTTTTAACATTTTGTAGTTTACATCCTTTTCCTTTTTGTATGTTAATCACATGACTACTTTAAAAAAATTACTATGACTACATTCCCTTTTTATTTACAATTCACATTTTCTTCTGGAAAAGACATATAGATATGCTACTGTAGTTTATAGATTTAAGCAAAACAAACTGAAACTCGATTCAAAATCATTTAGAGGGGCTGGGAAGGTGGCTCAGTGGTAGAGCGCTTGCCTTGCATGCATGAGGCCCTGGGTTCGATTCCTCAGTACTACATAAGCGAAAAGGAAAAAAAAAAGCCAGAAGTAGCACTGTGGCTCAAGTGGTAGAGCGCTAGCCTTGAGCTGAAGAGCTGAGGGACAGCGCCCACGCCCGGAGTTCAGGCCCCACTACCGGATCCCCCCCCCAAAAATCATTTAGATATTGTTTTTGCCTGCCACAATGTCACAGAGACATATTTTTCATCTTCAAGGTGTTCTACATAATATTTGGTGACCAGACATTTGTGTTAAGGAACTAGATAATTTGCTTCTTGAAAAAAAATTATTTTCCTGTAAATATATGATGGTCAATTTACTGGAGATTACAGTAATGGTTACTGTTTCCTGAAAGACATAGTCTAGATAATTTTTTTACATTCCTATTTCTCTTGTACTCATGTTCCAGAAAAATGAATAAATAAGAGACAAGAGAGAACACTATGTTTTAGAAATAAATAGACAATACCAGTTTGGTACCATGCCTTATATCAGGTATCACATAAGGACCACTTTCTGAGAAGGTGAATTTGTCTTTCATAGTAACTGATAGGAATGACCCAGGATTATACCAGATACTGAATGATGTGATATTCAAAATGCCATTATAGTGTCTACTATTAAAGTTATGAACTTTAAAAGGTACCACCAGACTCAACCCAGCTCCAAGCTTCAGACATGCAGTATAAATCTGATCTCTTGTCTGCACCATCATCAGGCCAATTTCAGGATCTGGATTGAGCAACAGGCAGGACAGACTTCAGCTGCACACCAGAGGCACACCAGTTGTAATGGGGCTGGGCTTCAAACACTGCCTAATACTTCTAGATGGACTGACTGGATGGAGTAATCCAGTCACTGAAGACTATAATAGCTACTTGTTTCTTTAAATGGACAGACAGTTGACACATGGCCAAAAGGAACAAAAACAATCAGGGAAACAAGATGTCACTAACAAGACAAAAATCAAGTGCCTGTGAATGATGCTAAAGAAATGAAAAGGTATGAATTGCCTGAGAAACAATCATAAGATCTTTTTTGAAGAAGCTCAATAAACTTCCCAGAAAAGTGGAGAAACAATCCTCAGGATGAGGAAAACAGTCAGTGATTAGAACATGA